CTAATATACATACATACAGGTGAAAATGAGAACCTTCATCACATTTTGAAGTCAGTTCATTTGAAAGAAAACATTTGACTGCGTGTGTTCATGATCGTATTTATATATAACATACAGCTTGCTAGGCTATGATATACATACTACATGAATCAGATTGAGATAATTATTTATGTTCTTATACAAACAATGTGCAGTTTGTCTGAGTATTTTAATGTTCATAAACTTGTGACTATTTTTATACTATTCTTTGTATGCGTGAAGCATGGGTACGGTGTCATCAGTTTTATGTGGTGATGATATATCTAAAACTGCTTTATTTGTTTAGATTGAGCTGTCTTACGCGTCATTGCCGTCTGGTTAAATTAGCTGACTGTTTAAATTAAGTAAATAAGTAGGTTACATTCAAAGACTCGTTACCTCATCACCATAACTTTTCCTTATTTAAAAAATATCGTTTATAAATCTGGATTTTGTAACAAGTACGCAGGCGCGGAACGGAAACACATTCCATAAGAAACATTTACGTAAACTTAAAGTCTAGAAAAGTGAATTTGTATAGATAATGTTTAAAATTAACTTCGTTCATTCTCAACCCCCGCACTGAATGGTTCCAGAGTTGTTAGCACCTTGTGTAACAAACACCATCGTAGGCGGTGTGATTTACGTACGATAAAATCTAGGTCGTAGTACTTTACCTAGACACGAAACAGACGTCTTAACCAATTTCATTACCATATTGTTTGCACGAAATACTATTTAGTTAATCGATAGTTTTTTTTTTCGCAACCACATTCAAAACTGTGAAGATAACAAATTGTTGAAGGAGTTTATACCGCTATGTTCGTAAATATTTTGAGTGGTTTACACACTTAAATTTATTTATTTTTTGAGCTGGCAATGAGAGGTATGCTGTGTTTAGAATGCAGTGTAGATTGTAGAATCGTGAATGTTTGAAATATTTGCACTCGGGAAGTGGTTTATCTTGATTTGTTATTCCGTGCATCGACTTTTTGGCAGTTTATGATTTTTGTTTTACAGCTAATTTTTTTCTCTGCAGCATTTGCATCATCACTTACATACTTTATTACCAACTAAAAAATAACAATCACGTAGTCTATTGCATAAAATTTTTAGATATTTTCAAGACCACTACATAAATCAAAATATAGTGGTTATTTTTCAAATTTTTGATCTGTCTTTTTCGAAGAGAACTTTACTGGTAAATCCAATAAGGTAACTGGACAGTAAGCTCGGCTAACGGTGAACATTTCTGTCTCATATTTGCCTGCGGGTTACCGGGAGGCAGGGACTAGGGTTACTGTTGAGAACTTGTTGCTAGTTTGTCTAGAGGTCTAGACAATATGCATGTGTTGTTGTTAAGGTTGACTCAATTCTATTTCAACTGGTATTACAAATAAAGGAGTCCTCAATTTTCGGCAATATGCTAACCATTTTGTAGAACTTATCGTATTACAAATATGTGTTCTTAATCAGTTTTTAAAGTTAGGGTTTGATATTGGAAGGGCTCGTTAGTCATAGATCTCCTTCTTTCCTAAACGATAAGAATTTGACTAACAATTTTTTTAGTGTAGGTACTATATCTACGTCCTTTAAAAATTATTTAATTTACTTCGACTTTTATTATACGCTACAAGGACGTTGTAAAAAAGCTAGACGTAATGTCACTTAGAAATGATTGAAGCACCAAAATATCAGTTGTGTATTTATGTGTGCGTGTACTTGCAATAGCGTAATGTATAAAGTGTAATGACTGGCCATGTCACACGACAGATGTCCTTCGTGTGAGTTCACAACGTGTGTGTATTCTGCGTGTAAGTCTATAGTAGACAGGTGCCACAGACGTTGTTTCAAGAGATAATATCCGCGTTTTTTTCGACGTCTTTGATACTCTATCATTGACTACTTACTTACTCTGTTATTGACTATACCTATCTATAGGAAATGCTTATATTTCATTCTATTTTTATTTATTGGTTCACCAACAATTGTTCACAGTAGTTCTTTTAATACCATATTTAACATGTTCACATTATGACGCCATTAACAGCTGTCCGATACAAATGGAGTAACATTATCAACTGTCGATAATTTTGTATGTGTTTTAATTAACTCCTTAGTCACTATCGTGTTTTATCGATATTGTTGCAATCCTCTCTGGGTCAGAGCAATTTATTATTAAATATAAATAGGTATAGTACTGTTATCGCTATCGAAGTAGGCATGTATGTATCACTATTAGCTGGTTATGAATTTTTAGTTTTATCGAAATATTTTTTGGTCACCAATTTTTGCGAGGCGTATCTGGAACGTTTTAGTGACGTATTGAATACTGAATTTTGACTAGTTTCTTAATTTGTAGTTAATTTGTACTAGGTTAGACTATTATTGGAGACGCTAACTGTCCTGGTAGTGGACAGAAACTAGCTGATGATTATGCTAATGAGACACGCACTGAATCTCCAACAATCCTCAAATTCCTAATCTCCAAAAGGCCGGTAACGCACTTGTAACGCCTTTAGTGTTTCGGGTGTCCATTGGCGATGCCGATTGCTTATCATCAGATGATCCGTCTGCTTGTTTACCGGCTTATCCCGTAAAAAAAGAAGTTTGATGCGTCATAAACTTATTGGTGGCAATCCTAATTATACATGTCTTATGTCTTGATTGGTCAATTACTAAAGTATTGTATGATTTTTAAAAGGTAGACAATGTTTATTATAGCTACATTTTGAGCAAAAAACTTGCTTAATAAAAGTTATTTGCTTCATAGCAGTGAAAGTTGCAAATTACAAATGAAGTCTTGAAACCAAGTACTGTTAACATTTGTGCCTCTTAACATACAACACAATGTTCAAGTTAACTTAGAAAGGACAACTTACATAACTTAAACTTCAATGGGTTTTAATCGAAAGTTGTTTTTTTATAGTTAACCGATTTCTAACCACAGCTAATTACTATCGCTATTCACATTGCCATAGTAACGGTATGTGTAAATGTTAGATGCTATTTATAGAAATATTTCGTAAACCATATTGAATGGATTAAGTTGAAGTATACAGAAATAATTTCTAAAATTGTAGATTATTTCTGGTTGACTGTCTATGTGGTTTGGAACGATAACGATGTTAGATTACTAAGCTTTTTAATCGATGTTGTATTTCGATAGCGTATATTTTATGTCAGTTTGGAATTATTCTAGTATGAATGGCCGTAAGCGCAATGTAAGATTTTTAATATAACAGTTCTACTACCTTTTCTTTAACAATGAAACTATAAAACACTACCCTATTTGAACGTTTTGATAGGTCATGGAAACACCTCACTTAAAGTGATAATCCTAGATTTATTTAAGCCTCACTTTCCTAACTACTCTGTATCATAAGTACCATCCTACTCATGTGAACACTACTACATAGTTAAGTTACCAAAGTTCTGATTTTAACACACGTTACAAGAGTATGTTCTAACTTCGGCCTGATTGAAGTGTGACCATTTACTAAATGATAATGGACGGTATAGTTAGCGCATTTAATTAGATTGTCGGCTATCCGGAGTCATGTAGTCACGCTCTCTCACCCGAGATGGTAAAGGCTGCACGTGCCTTTGATAATAAGTCAAGCGCCAAGAAGTTTTGAACATTTTAGAAAAATTGCGGAAGATATAAGTATCTATCAGTCTGCAATAAATATGTCAGTACTGGACAAAAGTCTTTTCTCATACGGATAATGAGCATTGATCAAGAATCTTGTTCAAGGTTTACGCTTACCTATGTCAAAAAATAGGCGTCTGTTTAGGAAAAAACGCTATCGGCTACCTTCAAAGCTGTATAGCGTTAATGGAATTTAAAAGATCCGGGGTATAGCAATAAAATATAGCTATATTATAATAAATAATATATAGGCATACAGTCATGCTGATCAACAGTATTAAGTTCATCAGGCGATGTTATTGAATATACATATGTATTTAACAAATATTTTGGATACCTAAATACATATATATCTACATTTATATTTTATGCCTGTCTCCTTATTTTAAGAATGACCTAAATAAGCTTGTCATGATTCAAAGAAAAAGTACCCTAGCCGTAGTATGAAGTAACATTTCCAAAGAATTAGTTGCAGAATAAAATATTTTCCTCTAAAATATAGAATGGTTAAAGTTTAGACGTAGGTATGTATTAGTCACTGGTTCTGCGAACAGCTTGATTTGTTAAACAAATAGATAAAAATGGTTCAGAGGTTTGCGGCGTCTTTTGAAGCGTTTATTTATAGTGGCTAAAGATGTTTGGTAATAGATATGTTTTTTTTTAATGTAGCCTATTCGTGATCTACATTATATTTATACGCTTATTGCGTTTATTTCTCTCTATGTTAGACAACAAAGGTCAAATGTTTCTGCCTCTTTTCACATAGAGGACGAATCGAATTACTTAACAGTTGATTATTACACATAGGTATCTAGACGTTCATACATATATATACGCATAGTAATTGAAACGCAATTGAGACGATTCGATGCAAGTCGGCATTCAGATATATTTTCACAATAACTAACACGTTTGTAAACAGTCGGTATTTACTATTTACTCAACGGATTATCCCACTCAACCAAGGCTGTTTTGGCTTACGTGTCCAATGCATTTGCCGAATCCAAGGTCCGTCTGCCTCAATATTGTAATGATTTAAGAAGTTATTGTGGGTTTTATGATCTATGTGTGTATGTGTGAACATAGTTATAGTACAAAAAATGATGTTTTAATTAATGAACCTTTTGTTCATTCACAAAATGGAGGATCAATCTTAATATTGTAAAAGTTAAGGTTGAAATTCTAAATTAGGGATTACTTAATGCAGCAATTACTAGCAAAAATACTTCATAGACGTATATTATTATTTTGTATTATTATTTATTTTTTCTTAAAAAGTCATAACCAGCGTGATGTGGCAATGTTTTCATAAAGTATTTTTCCATTTTCCAGATGCAAACGATTCTACATCACAACGGCAGTGGGAACTTGGCGTACACCGGCAGATTGAAGAACAGAGAAGTACACCGAGCCATCACGCTGCATCCTGTCAAGGACCACCGGCAAATGTACAGGATACATTCCTATTTTAAGGTAAAGAACTTTTTGGTATCCTGCTTCCAAGGCGTATGGTAGAATTCATTGGTTTTCCTACGTCTATTTCTTCATTGGATGTCGTAAGGACTTATTAAGAGACTACATATTTCGAATAATCACGCTCTCTGATAAATAATAGGGTAGTTGCCAGGGTATGAAAATTAAGAATCTAATTAGTCCGTCAGTTAGATGATGAAAAAATATTAGACACGCATTTTTTTATTTTCTTAAATAAAATGGAGTCAGAAGTGGGAGGTCGTCATAGTGACGTTACACGATATTTCAGATTAATACATATATATCGTCGAAAGTATTTAATTTTGTGAGAAAAGAAAAAATACCTAAGTGTCTAATGTTTTAAATTAATCCATTAGTCAGACATTAAAATAAAATTTAGACCTGCTATGATTTTTTTTAAACTATGCTCTTCGATCTGCCTTACAAGGGTGGAGATCATGGCCAACCTTTTGAGGTAGACGCTCATAATCTATCAGTGGACTGTCAAAGGCGGTTGACGATTGATGATGAGAATTTTTGTATCAATTTCTTTCATACTCCAAGCTGAAATATTGTGATGGTCCAGTGAAACGTAGGTTTTTGTCAGTACAGAAACATATTATTGGCTTTTTAACACGTTCCACATAGGTTTCTGGAGCGCATTTTAGTACGTTTCCTTTAGTATTAGATTTAGCTACAATGTATCTGAAAGTAAATATTTCAGAAGTATCTTGTTCCCGGTCATTGTACCCACGTGTAGATGAATGTTACAGTTATTTTCGGTTTCCTAGTAATTGTTTGAAGATGATTTACTTCTTCTTGTTTCGCACTAGTTTTGTGTACGGTTTCCTTCGACAAGCATGCTCTGCGTTTGTTTATTGGTGTTACCTATATATCATTCTGTTGGCTTTGAGCCTCTATGTGATGTAGTGATTGATATTGAAGTGGTATACAATGATAATATTTTTGTATTGAAAGAACAATTACACTATTACTTGAATATAGATTACCGACGAATTCCGATACTGTTCGATTTAGGGCGTAGTTGGTATACTAGCGCAGCATATAACTTAGACTCTCAGCTTATTTAAATAACCGATTTCAATACAAAATATATACATTGATTTAGATCGATTTCTGGAATGAGTTCTATAGAATTTCTGTCAAAAATCAAGACCGATCCAGAGTCATATTCATTTTGGTTTTTACAATTTCCAGAGTCTAGAATACTGCCTTCTAATTTCCCAAAATTAAAAAATCCTATTTAACATTTGCCCAACTTAATGATATACTTTATCGAACACTGATATACTTTTGCAGTATTGCCTGTCAATCATCGAGGCAGTTCTGATGGTACATAACTACATATCTGGTAATCCTTTGTAGAATAACATCAAGATGTTTATATTGTGTCTACCTTTGAACTTGTATAGTCAAGTTATTTATAGTCAATAACAAACAGTAGCAAGTTATGATGTCAGGCTTCAAGTTAGTCTGCTCGTGTGGCCGTGAGGGGAATAAATTCGGCGTAATTCAAATCCACGATAACCTTACGTTTAATTTTGTATACGTATATAGCAAAGTTTAGATTAATTGCTAAAAATAACCTTTGTTTAATGATTATTCTGATATGTAGATATATAAATATATGCATGTTATACCGGAATTGTTAGATACTTAATTTTTAAGTGCAAGGGGTATTCGAAAATTTAATAAACAGGTTTCTCCTTGTTAAATGGCCACAAGGGTGATCATCAAATTAAGAGAAAATTATAGAGTTTCTGTTTTTGATTTTTCCTGTGGTCTCAATAATAGCATGTCTATACTATGCATGTAGTACCTATTCGGCAATAGATTCTTCTCGTACTAAATGGAAGTGATAAGAAAACTGGTGAAGACTGGCTGTTACATTGTATCTCTGCCTACCCTTTTTGGATTATAAAACGTTACGTAATAGTATGGTTTCAAAGTGTTAAAAATATCTGAAGACTAAATTAAAACATTTTGAATAAGAACTAGTAACAATTTTCACCTTTGTAATGTAAATTGAAAACGAAAAAATATACATGTCGATAGATCTTACTTCCCTTGTTTGCAACACTAAACAACACGTTGGTGCAGGTATTTGTTATAAACTTCACAGGACCAAGAAACCAGATCTATGTGGAAGCTATAAATCTGCGCGTACGCACCGTCCAACCTGCCTTTGATCTTCCACGTACAATTTTGCTTTAGAGTATGAATATTATCAGGTTCAGTTTTAAATAATTGATCTTAACCAGTGTAGGTACATGTATGCATGCGATGAAAGCTAAAGAAATGTGTAATGGTTAATAGTAGAGGACTCTGTGATTGTTATCGTTCTTATGGGAAAAATTCTAACAGGACGTCAGTTTCTGTTTGAGTATCCGACGAATTAAGATTAACAAACTTAAAGTAATTAATATTATATTACATTAACTCGTCGAGTACCGGTTTTATAGACACAATTAAAGAACAATAGGTCGCGGTCACCGGTGACCGCTTGGTGTTTGACAGTTTAATATTATATTACACTATCATTAGTTGTAATTTTGTTATTAAAGACGTACGCCAATGCAATCGGTAAGATGTCGCGGAGAACCTAACCTAGGAGAAGGAACGGGGTGGTTTTTAGTCAGTAAGAGTCTGACACTCCCTCCCGCCTCACCCAGGCGGGAGCAGTCATTCGATGATTTTACCCCCTTGAAAAAAATACAATTGGTAAGATAGAGAGCTTTTAAAAGGCTTTTATATTGCAAATACCTGATGGGTTATTTTCTTGGCCTTACGCATGGTCCCTTAACAATAGATTGCTTAATTCATACTCAAATCCAAGGGCTGGGAAGACTTTATTTTTAGCGATACAAACTCACTTCGTTATTGTTTATGAGACTTTGATTATACAGATGAGTTGTGCGCCATTTTTTCTTTTTTATTCTGATTCTGGTTCAGCCGTGAACTGCAAGTTTTATGGTACAGGATGCACACGTTTATAGTGATTATTTCTTAGAAACTTTATTACAATTGGTTAAGGTTTATCTCGCTCTATCTTGTTGATAGGATGAAGTTATTGGTTTCTGCAGTTACGGGTGGTTATGGACGCGTTTGTAAAAGTTAAAGTGTTTTCCAGCAAATATATATCATGCCACTTTTTGTTTTGGCGTTGTTTTGAGTTCACAGATATAGTCATTTCAAAAATGGAATTGTCTGCCGCCACTTCAGCCAATGAAATTGTCTATTTTTTCCAAGACGAGATTTATATTACATGAATACGAATGCTAAACAAATAAATCTTTTTAAATTCTCATCAGAATATTCCTGCTACAGTGCCATGCTAGGATATTGAGTATAATTTTAAAAGGACATTAATGACATAACTAACGCGGCCAGTTCCCGTTACCTTTTTCTAAAAACCTGATTATGGTTCCATTAAAATTATTAAGTTACTAACTAATAATATTGGATAACGTATGTAAACAAGATAGTATGGGTGCAATAAACGCATTAACATTTACATGACACGTTATCGAAATAGTTATCAGGGAATTTTAGCGAATCTGTGTTGAATGCTGGTATTTTATTTTTGTCGTGTTTACGTTATATTACCTAAAAGATAGACTGGTTTGAAATCTAAAGAATATCATCAAAATTACAAATTGACAAACATAGTGATTTGACGAAATCACAAATGTAGCCTGATTATTAGGCAACTGGTTTGGTTTCACATTGAAGCTTAATAAGTACAGTACCCACTAAAGCTTTCTTTCTCTATATGTAATGAAATAATTAAATTGAAATATCTATGCTGCGTAAGTGCCACTGATTTGGTTTTATTGTATTTCCTTAATTAAATCATCATAATTAATTTAAGGTATAAACTCCATTACGTAAACATTTCTTATCAACCGATTATTTAGGCACCAAAAATTGTATCTGTTTACCAAATCAGTTTAATTAACTCTTCTTCGTTTATGATTCCAGAACCTTCGAATCCAGGAGCTTCGAGAACGTTCTCTGGACTTGCACCGAGATATTGCTTTAGCAATGAAGGAGTTGGCAGTTCCTGAGGATCAGGTGGAAGATTATAAGCTGCCTGGAGACGTACCATTGTTTCCAGCCAAGATTGGGGATCCAGATTATCTGGGTGACAATAAGATATTAGGTGAGCTTGTACCATTAAATCTTAATCACAAAGTATCAGATTAATATTAATTGTCCCCTTGGACACTTATTCCGAGGGGGCGCTTATCATTTACTATCAGGTGATCTGTATGCTCGTTTCTCTGCAAAATTACATGGATCTAAGGATGATTATAAATCAATAAGAGTTTCACAAACGTTATTGTATTCCTTGTTTTTGTCAAAAAAGGGGCTTTAATTTTCCACCCTGAAGAAAAAGATTGTGGGATCTTATTAAATCTTTGACTATAATATGTTTTTTCTCATTCCAGGTGCTCCAATGGACTTGAACCGCTACAAACCAGACACGATAGAAGACATAGTGCCATTTGACTTCATCAGCAAGTCTTTATACTCAGCCAGTCACGCCAACCCCAAAAGGCGGATAGAGGGACCACTTCGGGAAGCACTCGACGATGTTATCAGAGAAGTACGTTTAGTAGCTTGAGTAAAAGTTAATTTTCATTACTTTTTTCAAAATTAGAGAATTTTAACTGAGTATCGAAATTGGTTATCCGTTGAATTTAAAGAATATCTCTACAATTAAAAACTTAGTTTTATACCTCAAAAACCTTTTTCATTTTAATTTGTGATTGAATATCATTGTCAGTTGGGGAACGATCATTGGGGATATAATTTTGTGGTGCAACAGCAACTCTACGGCTCTACTAGCATGAAAATTACTACATAATACTGTTAACTCTCTCTTCTCAATTCCAGGTAATGGAGATAATAAACGCGCCATCCCGTCAGCGAGGTCGTGTGATAGACTTCAATGAGCTGCTGTACGGGTACACACGCCTGCAGCCGCTACACGGAGCTGATCATGTGCTGGACCTGCTCCTCAAATACCGGCGCTACAGAGGACGCAAGATGACCGCCGCTGTCAGACGACACGCTTACTTGCAGCAAAGTTTTACCAGTAAGTTCTTTAAAAAATTAGGCCAAAATGTGTTTGTAAAATTCCTACCTTATGCTTTACATTTTATGGGTCTTCCTTCAGCCTCTTTGACAGTTTAGCCTTCTACTTAGGAATGCAATTTTATCAAAATAATAGAGTTAGGTTTACTTAATTCCATTCATGTATTTTCAGGTATGGAGATTAGAGAAATACCAATGGGAGATCCACCACCATTCGAAGACCCTGAAGTATTAGATGAATCCGAAGTCATCAATAACATCAATCCTGTAGATTATGAAGATTTTGATGAGACTCGTCAACAACAAGAAGGATTTTTAGATAAATTAAATGTAAGAGAAGCACTTGAGAGTGGTCTAATGAAGTTACAGAACTTACCAAAAGTATTGAACTGGGGTGATGATGGCTCTGAGGAATATCCAGTGTACGATAGAAGAATCCATTTTATTATGCCTTTATCTGGTAGGCAAGAGACTTTTGGAAGATTTATGAAAAACTACGAAGACATCGTACTGAAGACTAATGAGGCTGTGTCGCTAATAGTTGTATTGTATCTAGATACTAGTAATCCTCTAGACTATAAAAACACTGAGAACTTGATCAACTTCTATGTTAATACGTATGGCAAAGATATCAGGACAGTGCTCATGGGTACGGAGACTTTCTCACGAGGTGCAGCATTGACGGAAGGACTCAAACTGTGTTCGCCTGACGATTTAGTTTTCTTTATAGATGTAGATATGATGTTTAATTTTGATACTCTCAGAAGAATCAGGATACACACTATCAAGTATCATCAAGTATATTTCCCAGTAGTGTTCAGCGAGTACAATACTGAAGTAGTTAATGGTGATGATTATAATAAACTGTTGGGTGATAACATCGAAGAAGAACCTATATTGGATGAGATGGGAGAGGAAGAAGAGCCAGTTGAAGAAGTTGAAAAAACTGAAAAGGAATTAATAAATCTAAAGTATACCAAAGAAATAACCAACGACAACGGTTATTTCAGACAGTATGGTTTTGGTATTTTAGCTATATACAAGTGCGATTTTGAACGTGTTGGAGGATTTGATTTAAAAATCAAAGGTTGGGGAATGGAAGATGTTCAAATGTTTGAAACATTGATAAAATCTAATTTAACCGTATTAAGGGTAGCAGATGAGAGTCTTGTACATATTTTCCATTCTGTGGCTTGTGACAAGACTTTGGAGAGACCGCAATTCTTGATGTGTCTCGGTACAAAAGCCTCTACGTATGGAAGTGAAAAACAAATGATTAATTATATGATAAATCATCCGGAAGTGATGTGGCCTCCGCAACAGGCTATTGAAGAAATGGAAAAAAAGATAGAAGAAGAAAAAAAAGTTGAGGAAGAAAGAAAGGCAGAAGAACAGAAGAAGATTGAAGCTGAAAAGAAGGCTGAGGCCGAGAAAAAAGCTAAAGCCGAGGCGGAAAAAAAAGCTGAGGCGGACAAGAAAGCTGAGGCAGACAAAAAAGCTGAGGCTGATAAAAAAGCTGAGGCTGATAAAAAAGCTGAAGCTGATAAAAAAGCTGAAGCTGATAAAAAAGCCGAAGCTGATAAAAAAGCCGAAGCTGACAAAAAAGCCGAAGCTGACAAAAAAGCCGAAGCTGACAAGAAAACGTCAGAAGAGAAAAAAGGTGCTAGATAGTACAGGGTTTAATATACGGTCTAGATATTTGGTGCAAAAGAACTAAGTAAAGTAATTAATGATTTGTATAAATATGAGTACGAATTCTAGTATTTTTAATGTTTTTTGTTGTCCTTTTCTGTACATATTTATTTAGAAAAGGTAGTCCTACTTGTGGTAAGATATAAATTATAAGAGATTTTATAATTTTTGTCTTAAAATTAGGATGTTGCTAGAACGGAACTTGACGCAAAATAAAATAAAATTTCGATTACGAACGATTATTGTCAATACATGTGATTTAGTATTAAGATACATATACATAAATACATTTTCTTGAAACTATTTATCTCGCAGTGCTTTATCTTGCGTCAAATTAAATTATTCTTGTATATTTTATCCTATTCTCTCAAATGATTCCATGTTTGTAATGATGCATTTATTTCTATTTAACTTAACCTTAGTACGATTTATTTATTTATAAACTTATTTGTTTTACTCTCCTATTAATATCCTTTTTACAATATATTGGAACAAGAATATCACAATATTACCTATAATATACTAGGTATACATTTTATCCTATTTGTATCCATTGTATCATAGATTTGTGTTACTTTTTAATGCAAGACATATCTTTCCTACAAACAGTACCTCACTAAAGTATAGTGGTAAGTTATTCAATGGAATTGTTATATAAATTATATAAACTTCATGTACAAAGTGACGGTACATTTTGGTGCGAAAAACGTATAATAATTTTGTTCCTATTAAAACAAAACAAAATATAATTGTAAACGTCATTTAGCTGTATAAAAATGATGTGTCTATACGCTGTGTTTGTATCCAATATTTATAACGTTAATCTTCTGTTACTATCTACGTATTCAAAAATTACGTATGTTTTATGAAATGCCTCTGGTGGATATTATCTACCCATTAATTATTTTTTGGTATAACTTGCTCGCTGAGTGAACGGCTGGCTCGTCAGCGTTTTGACATCTACTAATAAAGATATGCTACGATATGTCATAAGATCGGCAACACAAGAGCACGAATTGCAAAACAAACTTTAAAATAAGATCCAACAGGTCAACGCGTTTTTAATGCACATTAGTATATTTTTACACAAAGATATGATGTCGTTGTTGATATCATCAAACGCTCTCAAAAGTAAAGAAAGAAATATGTGTATAACCAAATTGGCTGGCCAATACTGTTTGCTAGCAGTACTATTGTAGTATTAAACATCCAATACGACCCTTTCGTGTTGAGTTAGGGCTTACACAAGTCACAGAATAGCATAATAATCTAGTTTTATTTGTATCAAGTCACTGCCAAGTTCCAATATGGCTCCGTTTTGCACGCTCCGGTACCGGCACACGTACCGGTTACCTGGCAGAAAAGTGCACGTGTACCGAAGGTTTTAATGTGACAGTGGCCAGCAGCATGACGTACTCCATTATGACAATATTTTCATTCGATTTTTAACGTAATATCAAAAGAATAAAGTTGAAAATCAAATAAGAGATGACTTGCTAGTAGCCACCGTAAATTTGCCACCAGGGCCGCGTTGAATATCGGCCGGAGGGTGTAAACAGCCACTAAGTTTCAGCTTCAAGTAAATCCTATTCTATTGTAAATTATTTTCTTTCAGTCATTAACTGTCCATGTCATGCAGAATACTCGAAAACTTTGGTTGTGACAAGCTTATTTATCGAAAACTATATGAATAAGCTCTTTGTTCGGAATAGGCAATACCACTTAATGGCAATATTACTTACTTTGTTATAAATTAAGGGGAAGTATTGAGTATGGCGTAACGATGCCAGGTTCGCACGTAAATACTAAACAACAAATTATTATTTGACGTAGAATTTGTCTAAGAATGAGGCACTAAATTAAAAATCCAATTGATCCAATTGATTTTATTATTGTAAGTTATTTTATTACAAATAATAAAACAGTATACACATAACGCATTTACAATTCATAATATACCTTATTAGGCACAGAACTATGACTTAAATGCGTTGTCTGTCTGTTCAAAGTTCAGTGCATGGCCTGGCATCATACCGCAGAGATTCGTCTTCGATTCCAACCCAGTGCTCTATCATAATACCTATATGTAAAACTAAGTATTATTTTTAAATAAATGTAAATAATCATGTACATTGTTATTATTGTGCTCACTAAGTGCCAATTCCTAGTAATTTAAGTAGAACAATGAAGTAAAATCGAAACGTATGTCGTATGTATGTATAATTGTATAATGAAATATTTCATGTTGATATTATAATATGAACAATTTTGAAATTGCATTGTGATTTGAAAGTGATGAAATTAATTGAAATAGTATCGAAAATAAATATATTTTGTGATGATATATTTGTGTATTTTTATTTACAACCTACTCTGAGGTTTTATACTCACTTACTGTATTTTTTTAAGAATGCCAGTGCTCAGTACTGTTTAAGCTTATTACTTTTTAATTTTTGCTGTACAGGATAGAAAACATGGTGCCATCTCTTTCTGAGGAAGTCGTAATAGACATTTGCGTAATATCAGGAGCATATCTGATAATGTCTGGAATGTCTTCTTGTCGATCGTTTGCGTCATTGAAAGGTTTTCATTGCTATCGCTGTTATTTCCCTCCATCTTGTCGTTTTTGGTTTTTCTCAGGGCTTTCGTAACGGAGAGTCAAAGTGAAAGTCGAAGCATTTATTTCTATTATTAATTAGGCACTTTTGGAGCGTCAATAATTGAAGCTAAGAGTAGACTACAGTTCAGTGTGATTGGTAATTGGAATGCCACAGGCTATTGATAGTGATATTCTTCCTGACCTTACCGATACCTAACCAAAGTAAAGAACACTCATACCCAAATGACGAAATAACCATTACAAATCAACAGACAACTTGTAAAATGCTTGTATTAGTAGATATAAATGTCGGAGCCACACTCAGACTCAAGTAGCACTTCAAGATACGTAGTGACTAAAGCACATATACGAATACTTTAGAAAGTTCACTATTTGTATGTCAAATAACAATTTAACAAGTTTATATTTTGCTCATGTAAATGTACATTGAGAGATGCATTCAAATTCGTTTTTATTCATTCTTTTCTAAAAGGTAGTAAGTGTATGATGTTACGTGGGAGAGTCATCTTCAGCAAGAATGGTTTAACTTGAAATGAGTGGTACTACCGTCCACGGCCGCCTCACTGATTACTGGCCACAACTACCGCCTTTAGTTTATACGCGATTCATTGGTGGCGCTTATTACATAACATGACGATATAACATCTGCTCCCTCTTCGGTCCTTAAAAAATTAAGAAACTTCTCAACTATATCTATATCTTGATCGTAAACCGACTGATCACTAAACCGATGTCAAAGGAACCAGCTTTTTGTAATTTTTTACTTATTTTATTATAACATTTTTTATTTTTTTAAAAACATTGCCCCACACTAAGATTATCTCCTGTGTCGTGGGTATGTTTACAAACATACAAGTTTACATACACATGACACCCAGACCCGAAACAAGAATTTGTGGATCACACATAGTGTTGTTCCGTGCGGGAATCGAACCCGCGACACGTTGTACGGCAGCCGGTTGCCCAGCCACTGCACCAACCGTGCAGATATGTTTAATTGCTTTAATTGAAAAACATTTAACTCGTCTGTTGAACACTTCATACTAATCTTAAAAAAAATCTTTCAAAGCTATTATTTAACTCTATTTTATGATGCAACTTAAAAGTTTCGCTATATTGTGATTGCAAGATACAGAACAGATTGAGATATGTATTTCATTGCTTAAAAACTCTTCCTTGTAAATCCATAACTGATTCAAAATTACACAATAAACATTTGAAACCTTCGCAACATTGTTGTTAATGACCGAAATATACACAGCTGCACGTTAAGCTTCTCTAAACTTGCTCAATCAATTTCCAACCTTAAATTTTTCCAGTTGTAGGGTTCAAAATCGTTTGAAGTATTTGACAGATTTAGGAAGGTTGATCTGCTGTACATTTGTTATGTCTCAACTATAATCATTAATCATATTGGTATAGATAAATATATCGGACACAATAAGTGGCAATTACCTGCCTACTCGTGCCACTTTCATTGCGAATAAATAATACAAGTTACATGTTAACATAGGTAAAATATAACGCCACCTCCTTCTATTCACCACTAGCTTTTACCCGCGGCTTCGCTCGCCTCACAAAAGGACGTGACGTAACGAATGTGACGTAATAACATACCAATACACATAGCGCTATCTATACCAATATTTTTGTTTTCCCTCGGGAATATCACATTTTTTCCGGGATAAAAAGTATCCTATTATTTAACTCGTCGAGTACCGTATTTATAGACACAATTAAAGAACAATAGGTTGCGGTCACCGGTGACCGCTTGGTGTTTGACAGTTTAATCCGGTCTTTTAACTTTACGTCTGCACAAATTCATAACAATCGGTTTAGTAGTTACGGCGTGAATGCGGAACAAACAAACAAACAAACTCACTTTCCGATTTATAATATTAGTAAGGATAGTAAGGATTCACTTATGGGTTTGGTTGAGAAGCGCACGTTAAACCTAACACCCACTTTTCTATAGTTTTATTATGAAGTCCCTTCTAATATTCCCTATCAACACAAAGCAACATTAAGAGTCTGACGGAAGGGACTCATACTCCCGCCCTCCAGGAGTAATTCGATGATATCCCCCCCTTAAAAAAACACTAAGCATGCATAAGCATACCATACTACAGATTTGGTGTTAGGAATATCCGAACTATTAATTCGCCATATCCTGGTATGTGTCCGAATAACTCTCAAAGGCAACTTAAAGTACCCACTACCTGATAAAGGTTAACCAAGTCTTCGGTGGATTATTTTCGCAAACCTGGATAAAAGGTAAACCCCTCTTATGTAGAGGTGACCCATGGTCCAGTGTAGTGGATTGTTATACGCTGTAATTGATGATTAGACAAAAGTGTCT